CACACTATGCGTTTTTACCGCTCCCGCTAAAACGGATGCGGTTTGACAGGATGAGATCTACTTTTCACACTATTCCGGTCTAACGGGATGCGGTTTTGCTATATTTTGGCAGTCTAAGTAGTGTCATGTCTCAATTATTGTTAAAGATGGTTTGTACGCTTGAGGCGGAGGGGTTATTGAGAAAGCAGATATATCGTTAATATTGGATTGATCCTTTTAATTCAGGACGAGAATCTCATAATAGGTTTGCGAAGTTTTATGAGAAAATTCGAATGAACAAGAACAAATTTGTTGTATATTACCGAATGTCCAAAAATTCAATTTCTACCCATGATTTCTCCCTACAGTTTTTATCTACATACTCTTTAGATTGTTTTTCCCACAGTGCAGTTTTTGCATGCACGCACTCGATGAATACACCGACATCAAACATTGTAAACCTAACAAAACACCCGGTTGCAACGCTCAGTGTGACAACTGATGACAACCAACGTGCAACAACACGTGGTTTCATGTCATTGTGGTTGTCATGTCATCCTGCGCAGCGGCAGCAGGATGCGGTTGCATCCGGTTGGTGCGGCGAAAACGCATATATGTGACTGGTACCATTTAATAACGTGTGATATTACCATCCCGTCAAACAGGAGCGTTTTAGCGGGAGCGGTAAAAACGCATAGTGTGACACCACACTAATACATAATTTGAAAATATCTTCTTTCTAAATGAAGAGAATGAAAAGAGACACTTTCCACTAAAAGCGTGAAAATTAAAATTAAACATAATTTACATGTTCATCCAATTACGTTGTATTCACAAACCAAAATAAGGTATTTTATTTGGTAGTTGCAGAATGTAACAAGGGAAATACTACAAATTTATTACCAAATGGGAATTTCACACATTTAAAGGCGATTTGATTTACGTTCAGACCTGTATGTTCAAGTTGCGCAATTTGTTGATTTGATTTAACTTGAGCATGTCTATAAGATGAGCGACTTAATTTATACTTTGGCATTGTAGGTATACGAAATCAACACAGGTATTAAATATTAATTGCAACTCACATCAATTGGCAAACATTAACGAATTCAGTACGTACCTATACGATATTATGTGCACCGCTATTTGCGAACGTAGATCACTCCGAACGCGCCCAGGTCCAATTATAATAATTCCGTCAATGATACAGAATGTCGTTTTATTTCACACTTGGCCAACTGCTAAAATTCAAAGGAAAATGTGGTTTTCAATGCAGGCATTTTTATAAGTGAGGTTAAGGTTTTTGTTCATAAATAAAATACAATTGCTGCAATGTGTAGTTACCATAAATAACAACATTATAAAAATATGTCATATACTTACGCAATTACAACCTGGAGAAGAAAATATTCCAACGAAAAATACAAGTCCAACGTCAACAGACACAAAACTTTGGCGCGCAATAATGGCGGACAAACCAAAACATGAATACTACCTAAGCCGCTTTCCTTTCAACTGATCAGAGCTGATCGAGTAACTCTGAAGAGCTCCGGTGTGTTCCATTACCACAGATCATTTTGATCTGGTTCATGTTTCCCTCTTCCCCTCATGCACGACCTTTTTCGCGGGAGCATTAGAGTAGATCAGTAAACATAACCTTAGTTCTTTATTTACATCTTTGCTTAAAATATTTTGCTTGGGTAATATCACGAAACAATAATGGAATTAATCCTAGAGGAAGACGACGTACAATATAAATTATGTGTATCAGAAACTGATTACAATCGTGCAATGACAGGTTTATATAACTATTTCTATGTAATCAAATTTTGCTAATTACTATATTTTATAGATCATGCATTTGCACAAAGTCTATTATTTCACGCAAAAGTTACCGGTAGTTCTATTAGTACAGTTGCCTCAAATCAAAGTCGTGTAGAGAACTTGGAACCGGCATCGGACAATTTGGAACAGTACTTGGAAAACTACCGTCACAGCTGGTCGCATGACGAGACGTTGTGTCTTATTAAGTCAATGGAAGTGCACATTGAGGATGAAAACCATCCTAAAAAAAGGAAATTCATTTTCGAAAATGTTGCAAATGATCTGATAAGCAATGGCTTTCAGGTGAACGCTACCGTGTGCCACAATAAGTGGAAAAACTTAATGCGATCTTATAAAACTGCAAAAGATAACATGCTAAAAACCGGAAGAGGACCAACTAGATTTTTATTTTTTTCTGAAATGGATGGGGTTCTAGGTGAAAAACCATCGAGCAGTGCGACACATACATTAGAATCTAATAACTTACAAAATTTACCCGACACATTGCCACCTCCCGAGATGTCTGCAATGTCCTCTCCGTCATCATCACGGTCATCAACACCCACACTGACACGAAGTAAAGAAAAAAAAGGAAGCATTCTACAAATAAAAAAAGAGGAATTTAGGAGAAAACATGAAAGACATAAGGAAAAAATGAGACTTCTTGAGATAAGGAACAAAGTTGAGGAACAGAAAGTGAATCTCTTACAAGAAATTTTAAATAAGTTAAACTCATAAATAGTTGTAATTATGTTGTTTCAATATGAATAGTAATTTCGTTTTTTAAATTATGTAATATTACATTGGGAATATGTTATATGTTACTATAAATATTTGTTTATTTCATGAAATAAAAAATAAAACATATAATCTGATTACGAAAACATTTCTTCAAATATTTGTTCTCTCCGATGCCTGGTTACGTTTTTTACATCTGACTGCAATGGTATTTCACTATTAACATCACTACTTATGTCATAAGGTTCTATTACTGTATTATCATGTTTGCTTTCACAAATATTGTGAAGCACACAACAAGCCATCATAATTTTCACACAGATATTGATATTTAAGTTCTCTAAATGTTGTAGCCTGCGGAACCTCCCCTTCAAAAGTCCAAACACATGTTCAACAATAATGCGTGTCGATGAATGTTTAAAATTAAACACTTTTTGATTGTTACTTAGGGCACCGTTGTCCTTAAATGGAGGTACTAACCAACTCAGAGATGGATATGCTGAATCACCCAGTAAGTATTTATTGCCAAAGAAATTAACATTATTTTCGGCTTTAGAATACAGTGAGGACCTCCTTAACAACCGAGCATCATGCAGAGATCCCGGCTCTCCACAATACACGTCAATAAATTGCCTGAAGCTATTGACAGTTCCTTGTATTAGCAAACTAAAGTATCCTTTTTTATTGATGTATGAGTCTTGATCATTTTTTGGCCTCCGAATTCTCACATGACATCCATCAATTGCTCCAATTACATTTTGACTGCCAAATTTGGTGGCGAAAGCTTTAGATATAACTTCTGTTTCCTCCTGCGTTGGCCACTTAATGTACTCAGTACGTAGAGACAGTATACAATTTAATACCCTTTCAATTACACGGTGAGCAGAGCTCAGTGACACATCAAAACGATCAGAAACCTGCCTAAATGATTCCGTGTTTCCAAGGTACCATAATGTCATAAGCATGGCCTTTTCACTTGATATTTTCATTTTTCCGTGTTCATGAACAGGGATGAAACCACTGTTTTCCAGTCTACTAGCTAACTGGTACACTATTAATTTGTGCATTCGAAAATGCAATTTAAATGTTGTTTCACTATAATTTACAACTACTCTTTCAATATATCCTTCAATTCGTACAATTCTAGCATATTCCTCAACCTCAGAATCAGTACTACTTTCACTACTGCTCCCACTAGTTTCTGGACCTTCCAATAGATTAATAATGACTGGTAATAAATCCATAATTAACTACAAAACCAATTTTTAGGTTAGGTGTTTTTTGGTAAACAAAATGAGTGTTCCATTCAACTTCAGAATAGAGTAGTTGGGAGTGGTTCACTTAAAATCTTAGATCATTTGAAAGGAAAGCGGCTCTAAACGAAATGGAATGAACCGTCGTTGATCGTCAGTCGAGTCGGCTGTCCTCGTGTCGTCCTCGTTCATGATTGACTTTTCAAATTGAATTATAGTTGTAGCCGGTCAAAGTTTGAAATTTTAATTAGCGTTGTTTCTATAGACACTTTATTACATTCTATACCAATTCAAGAATTATAAAGGTAGGTTTTACTATACAATTTAAAAACGTCCAGAGAACGTTCCCTGTATCTTAACAGACATGAGACTTATAATGAACGTTCGCAAGACATTTGCCTCAGTTCGTCCCTGGGACAACCTTTAAAATACGTCCTTTGAACGTTCATTTAAAGTCCCGGGACGTTGGGGCATTATTTGGCTATAAAATAAACGTTCGCCGAACGTTTGGTGCTGTCTGGGTTCCGACATTCCGCTGTGGAAATTGAATAACCTGCAATTTAGACAATTTTTGGAGAAGTACACAAACAAAAAAGTGCCTGACGAATCTACATTGCGCAAAAGATATTTGCAACAGTGCTTTCACGATGTAATTTGTGAGATTAGGGACCAAATGAAATATGAAAATATTTGGATTTCAATTGACGAAACCACCGATGCGGCGGGACAGTGTGTATGTAGTGCTGTAGTAGGAGCTTTGAAAGCAGGTAGCAAATCTTATCTTCTTAACATACAAATACTGGATCATGTGAATCATTCAACTGTGGCAAAATTCTTTAATGACTCCCTGACACTTTTGTGGCCAGAAGGCATACGGTACGACAATGTACTGTTGTTCCTTAGCGATGCTGCTCCATATATTGTTAAAGCAGGGTCTGGTTTAAAAGTGCTCTACCCTAAGTTAGTTCACGTGACATGTCTTGCCCACGGATTACATCGTGTCGCGGAAACAATTAGGACCCACTATAAAGATGTTGATCTCCTCGTTTCGTGTGTTAAAAAGGTGTTCATAAAATCACCGATTCGAGTTCAAAAATTTCATGAACTGGCTCCAAATATACCTTTACCACCTCAACCCGTTTTGACTCGATGGGGATCATGGTTGCAAGCTGTATCGTACTACGCTGAACATTTCAGCGAAGTCAAAGAAGTTTTGAGTGCTCTAAATGCAGAAGACGCTGCCAGCATTGGAACAGCACAAGAATGCTTTTCTAAAAAAGGTATTCAAGAGAAGATTCAGTACATTCACACTCACTTTTCCAAAATACCTGATGCTATTACTCAATTGGAAGCACGAAATAATTCTTTAGAACATTCACTTTCGTTGGTCGAGGAAATTTCAACTTCTTTATCAAAGGAAACGCATGGTGTAGTCAAATTTGCATACGACAAACTCTGCAACGTGTTACTGAAAAATTCCGGCTACAATACACTGCGTCAAATTTTGAAAAAACTTTCTGGTGATGACGTCATGTTTGAAGAGGAATACACGGACGAAGAGTTGTGGTGTTTTTCACATGCACTTGTGACGTCATGTGACGTTGAACGGACATTTTCAATGTATAAAACATTTTTTACAGATCGGCGAAGAAGTTTTACTCAGGAAAATTTGAGAATGACCTTCATTGTGTATTGCAATAAAGCAATAAATTAAATAATAAGCATTAAGTAAAAATACTTTTAAATAAATTTTTTGTTTAATATAGGTACTTATTTTGGTGCTTATTTCTTACATTTTACGTGCTTATTTGCATACTTATTTCACTGTTTGATTGCGCTTACAATTCCGGGCTCTAATCATAACCTATCTTTTTCCTTGTTGTGTTTACATTTTCCCATTTGCTAGATTTTCCGTTTACGATCTTTAAAGGTGGATTTATAAACTTGACGTTCGCAGTTAACGTTGCCGTTGCCGTTTAGTTACCGTTGGAAGTTGGCAGTTCGTTTCGAATTGACATTTATAAAACTACGTTCGTGACGTTGTTGAGTTATTTGACCTCTGCATTCTAACTACTCAGTATGAAATAACTATTATAGTACATAACCTTAAAAGTATTTCGTTTATCATTTCATATAAATATTCACTTTTCTACCTTTAAAAATGGACGAGTATGATGTGTTGTTGGGTTTATCTGGCGTTTTATTGTGTTACGCAGCAGCGAAAATAATACAAAGACGACCGCGGCGATTTAAAACTCGTCCAATTAACAGAGACCGTAAATTAACTGGAAATTACCGATACTACCAAAAATTGAAAAATTTGGATTCTCCTCAATTTTTCAAATACACTAGGATTGTATAATAGTATAGATTATTATTATGTAAAAAGTATCAAGTTACTTGTGTCTTGATGTTGTCATAATAATGTAATGACTTGCAGAAATAAATTATATTTAATTACAATACTTACAAGTAATACATGGTGTCAGGTAGCCAGTGAACCTGCGTAGTGAAGGCGTATAGGTATATGAATAGTAATTTTCAAGCTTGATTTTAGTCTGGGATTTTGCTTGACCTTGATAAAAAGTGAATACAGAATCCGATACCAGGAGTGCGTTCAGAAACAAGTGATGTTCTTTGGTGTGAAGTAAGTGTAGAGTGATGTCACGTGCCCAATGTCACTCTGTACTTTAGAAACGCACGGAGTGAGATGCTACTGTCAATTATTTTTGTAAGGTTAGAAAGTTCGAGCAAAACAAACAATTTTAAATATGAACAAAAGGAAGCTTATTTGTGGCTTGGCAATCTCATTATTTAAACAATTCCTATCGGAATTAGAAATATTTGTGTTTGAAGCTATCGATATTGAAGACGAAGAAGATCCTGTACCTTCAAAAAGGAGAAAGTTGCCGATTAGGATTGAGAATTATATGGAAAGGGTAATACCGAACCTCAGTAAACAACAATTTCAAATGCATTTCCGTATCAATTATGTGACATATACCAAGTTGTTACCAATTATTGCAAATGAAATAAAGAAAAAAGACATTGTGGGACGACCTTTAATAGACATCGATAGACAATTACTTGCTGTACTGTGGCTATTGGCAACCCCAGATTCATTTAGGTACCTACCTACATATGGAATACATTCATATATAACTAGCACTTCGTTTTAGATCAGTAGGAGAAAGATTTAATATGGGAAAGTCTTCTTTAAGTGTGTCATTTTTCCGTATCATCAAAGCGTTGAATAACATTGCGCCAAAAGTTATAGTTTGGCCAACAGGCGAACAGGTAGAAGCAGTTAAAGAAAAATTCTCCAATCTTGCAGGCATTGACGGTGTTATTGGAGCAGTAGATGGAACGTTTATTCCAATAAAAGCCCCCAAAGATGACCCAGAGGTATATATATGCAGAAAATGCCATTACGCAATTACACTGCAAGGAATTTGCAATGCTTCATTAAAATTCACTGATGTATTCGTGGGTTATCCTGGATCTGTAAGCGATACTCGAATATTCCGCAATTCCGACATATATAATGCGGTTACTGAAAATGTTATGGAATATTTTCCCAATGGAGAGTTTATTTTAGGCGATAAGGCATATCCTTGTTTGTCATGGTGCATACCTCCATACATCAACAGTGGAAATATGAATGCAGCAAAAAGAAATTTTAATTTGAGAGTATCTCAGACCAGACAAAGTATAGAGAGGGCATTTGGCCTTTTATTTGGACGACTACGGCGACTTAAATTTTTAGATATGAATAGACAAGATTTGATTCCTGCAACTGTTGTCGCATGTTGTGTTGTGCACAATTTATGTATAGAATCGGAAGATTTATTGGTAGAGGAGTTTATAAATGAGGGTATCCAATTTGTAAGAGGGAATTTGGAACGTGAACATAATGGCCGAGGAAATTTATTTCATGAGAATGGAACTCATAAACGTGATCAGTTGTGTCAAAGATTATTTGATGTTATGGACTAAATACTTGTAAATATTTTGTAATATCTTTATGAAACACTTAATCATTAATAATAAACATAAACTGTTACGAACTTAATACATATTCTTACATATTGAAAAAATACACTACATTCTACAGGATGTGTACGGTATTTTACTGTCATAATCCTACAATTTGTCTAAAAGTTTATTCATCTGCATGTTGAAATTTTCAATGGATTTTTGCTGCAACTCTCGAAGTAAACTCAGCCTCTCTTTATGCCGCCTTTCAATATCATCTTCTGTGAAACGCCTTTTCCTGGAAACTGATGGTGTTGGAGAGATACTTGAAGTTGTTGATGCAGTTTCCGTAACAGGCGGACTAGATGATCGAGATCGAACGTCATCACTGTCTTCCTTTTTGTCTAAGTATAATAATATAATCAAATTTACTTATAATGAGAGAAAAAGATCCTTACCTTCCAAGTTGCGTCCTCTTAGAGAGGATGCTACTGCAATGGGCTCAACGTTTGGTTTTTTTCCGTAAATATCATCCATCTCTTCGTAATAAGTAAATTGTATAGCGGCAGCACCACTACTAGTCGCTTTCATATTATCTTTCTTCTTCATATACCTCATTTTTAAATATTTTACTTTATCTTTAATCTGGGATGTAGTAAAGTTCCCACCATCATTCTTCATTTCATCCTTCATTAGCGCATATACTGCATCATTTTTTATGGTGGTCGATTTAAAATCTTCTTGGTGAAGTTTTAAAAAATGAATGAGCTTTAATGTCATCTCGTGACTCCACGAAACTTTGGTTCCCATCGGCGTACTCGTCCCGTTTGGTGAAGGAAGTCCAAGATCGGCAAGTTGCTTTTGTAATTCCTCATAATATTCAATGCCAAATATTGATTGCAAATCTGCATTAATTGAATGATACAGTAACTCTCCACCTGATAGGATTAAAATAGGAATCGATATATAAAATAATGTACCTACTTACTTTGAGTATTTTGCAAAACAACATTTTCATTTTCAATAATATATAAACCATTTTCGTTAACTACTGGCACATACGCATTTTCCATTATTAATTTAATAATTTACTTTACTGAAAATAAAATAATTTGGACAACGATTGTTGACATTTGACAGTT